GCTCCTGGTACCCAGTGGATAGAGACCAGGGATGCAGCTGGAATAAACATCCTACAGTGCGCAGGACAGCTCCCTACCACAAAGAATTGTCTCACCCCAAACACCAATAGTTCCAGGCTGAGAAATCCTGATCTAAACTGAGACCCCCTCAGGCAGCTGGACAGGGCCAAGACTCAAGAGTACTGGCAAAGGAGAGTCACCATCCAGGCTTCTCAGAAGGCAAGCCAGACCCCATCCACCTCCATCTGTGGGCTCCCAGTGCATTTATGTAAATGAAGAAATGATAGATCAGAGTTACCAAAATTACATTTATGGATAAATACATTCACCACTTCCACCTCATCTGGGGGGACATTTGATAACTCAATTTGGGGTTCTCCACGAGGGTGAGGCCCAGTCAAATGGCTGCCCCTCCCCCATAAGCCCTGTTCTCAGTGATTCTCAGCTAGGAGGACGGTGAGAAGGTGATGCTTTATTTCCAAGCTTCCTCCACTTCTCACTGGTGGTGTGACCTTGACAAGTTACCTCATCTCTCTAGGCTTCAGTTTCCTTAGTTGTAAATAAAGATAAACATAGCTCATGTTGAGTTAGTGCTGACTGTGAACTAGGCATTTTACAAGCATGGCCTTACTTAACCCCCAAGAGAGGTGGCGTGTGAAGTGGGCCTTGAAGGGTGAGTAGGAGTTCGCTCTCAGCAGAGGGAAGATGGAAGGACAACTTGGAGAAGTCAGGCATAAATGTAACAGTGGACACTGTGTGCTTCTTAGGAAGAAGGGAGAGTGGAGATCAGGGCTGAGGATAATGGATGAGAATGTTCCCACTGATGCAGAAAGTTCTACCAGAACATGCTGGCTTAGAACAAGCTTGACTGTTTTTAAAGAAGTAGCGTTTTCCTTCCTCTGTTTCTGTCTGATCAGCCCACAAACAAATTACCAATAAAATCAATAGCAGGCGCCACAGGTTAAGGATTGTCAGCTTTACCTCATTTAACCATTGCAGCAACCTCGTGGACTGGGTATGATTATTAACCCTATTTGAGAGATGAATTTACTGAGAATCAGAAAGGTCAAGTATCCAAAATATCCAAAGTCATGCAGCTTATAACCAGCAAAGCTGAGAGTTGAACCCAGCCCCACCCAATCCACAGCCTGTGTTCTTCACCAGCATGCTACACCACCCATATGAACCCATCAAGCCGATACATCCCAGGCTGAGCAAATTCGTGACAATAAACCACATCTTTCCTTCAGACCTACTTACCACTGACAGACTTGTCGGGGGTTAAGAGTCTATCTCAAGCCACTGATTTTGTCCCTGGGTGCATAGAAGCAAAATAGCTCCACGTTGGATGCTAACGGATATTCCCCATGGTCTCATGAAAAATGTTCTTCTCCTTTTCATCACAGACTCTTAAATAAGTCTGGGTCGACAAAACACTTCAAATGTATTATTTAAACAAGGGTGTTGAAGGCTTAAAAAAACAACAACAAAAAAACCTAAAGAAAAGGATGGTGAAAAAGCAACTCTCCCTGCAGATACACACAAGACAAGCCATGTGAGCCATTTCAGTTGCCTAGGTAATTGTACCCTGTAATTTTTGTAAACTGGCCTCATTCAGCGAGAGATGTTGGATTCCTTGCTCTTTAGCCTCTGGCTTAGAGTAAGCATCCTGATTCATTTTTCCTGTCTCTGTTTAAAAAAAGGAAAGATCTGGGCCGAGCATCAGTCAGACCTAGATTCAAATCCCAGCTCTCCCCTCTGCTTACTCTGAGACCTTGGGAGATACATACCCTCTCTGGGCTCAGTTTTTGCATCTGTAAAATAGAGCTTTTAGTGTCTGTCGAGAGTCAATGAAGCAACTTCTGTGCTAGCACCTGGGGTATCACTGACACTCAAACAATACTAACCTCCTCTCTTCTCTGCTGAATCCCCACTTATGATCATGTGATAGCCTAGAAGCAGGAGTTTTACAGCTTAGAGGGAGCTAAGTGACATTTAGAGCAGCCGTCTCAACAGACAATTTCGTTGTTTATCACCGTGTAGGTAAACCATTGACTCGGGACATGTCTGTAATCAAGAACCACTCCCGGTGTGTTTTTGGTGACATTTTAAAAAGGGTAAAACAGAATGTTCCCTCTAACGACTGCAGACCTCTTCAAGCAGGATGAGCAGACGTGGCTTCCACATGGGCCACCAGGACACTGAAACAAAGCAAGGTGGAGTTTCTGGTTGGTCCCCGTGTGGCAGCTGGAGGGGCCCCATTGCGCTCAGAGCTTAGACCCTGGCTTCTGATTCATCCCAAATGACTGTCAGCAGCAGATTGGGAATTAGGGGAAATTATGGAACCAAGATCAGGAGTCCCCCAAAGCTGGGAACATAGAACAGAAGGCAAGATGAGACCAGCCTCAGTGCCTGGGGCCCAAACAGAGATAGACCACAGGGCAAGTCGCATTACCCACAGCTAGGGGACAGACGGATGCCATAGAGTGAAACTGGATGGGAGGGTTACACAGAGGCAGGTTGTTAAGGAAGCAGAAGGGCAGGAGAACAGGGTGAGGCAGGGCTGGTCGGGAGATCTGGATTTGGGTGCAGAGTCAGTCCCATCTCAGCCATGACTTCTCTCCCTCTCAGAGGGTGGTCAACCTCTGGAACCGAGCTGAGATGGCCTCGTCCTGAACCTATCAGACTTCACAGGCAGAGAGCCAGGAAAGCTTCCTGGTTAAGAGGTCAGACTCTAGAGCCAGGAACAAGCCTGGGTTTGAATCCCAGCTCCATCCTCCCTGGCTGTGAGACTTAGGCTGGTGATTTAACCTCTCTGAGCCTCAGCTTCATCATCTGATGATGGTTGTGAGGATTACGATGGTGGTAATGAAGATGCTGATGATGGTGATGTTGGAAGAGGGTAGTGATGGCAGTGAAGATTATGATGCAACAAAGGTGATGATGAGAATGATGTTGGTGATAATGAGGGTGATGATAACACTGGTGTGGCTGGGGATGGCAATGATGACTATGGTGATAATGATGGTTTTGCTCATAAGGAGACATTGGATGATGACAAGGGTGATGATCATGAGAACGATGCTTGTGGTGGTGATGGTGGTGATGATGATGCCAGTGGTGGTCCTGGTGGTGGTGGCGGCGATGGCAGTGGTGGTACTGGTGATGATGATGGTGGTGATGACAATGACAAGAAGTGATGATAAGACTGAGAGCCTCCACTTCAGAGTAAAGGTGAAGAGTAAGCTGCAATACTGTGACCGTGAGCAACTTAGTTTCTGTCTCACTTACGCCATCTGTAAAATGGTGGTCGACATTCATACCTACCTCAAAGGGTTATCACAAGGACTAACTTAACTGAAACGTATGTAAAGTGCTTGACACATGACAAGTGCATAGTAAACGCTGTCATTATTAATAGCATTATTATTTTTGTAATGCTGTGTTCCCCTGGTTTTCAGAATAATTCCTTTTTACCCTGGGCTGGTGTCATTAGTTTTGTGACCAGTGCTCTGGTCGGTGTGGAAATGACTTATCACCGTGGCCCACAGGGCTGGTTTCCTACCCTCTCCTTCTGGCTTCCTAGGTCTTCAACCAGTAAGTTTCATGGCTGTTAAGTTATCCAGGGGTTCTGTGTGGGATTCTACTAGGAGATGGGCCTCCTGTGTTGCTAGATTATGAAATGGGGAAATGGGGAAGGGGGAACAAACTCCATGTCGTCATCATCCCTGAAATGATGTCTGCACACTGGGTGTGTGCCAGCCATCCATGGCAACTTGGATGAGCTCGCCTCTGTGCTTGGCCCTACGAAGTTTCAGGCTGGAAGCCCAAAGCTCGCTGGCTCCGTGTAGAGTCACATGGGTGATCCCAGAAGGCTCTGTACTGACTCAGGACTTTCAGACCAGGGCCACTAGCCGGTCACTCCAGGCATCGCATCTTCCTCACCTCCCCCGCCTTGCCTTTCAGAGATCTGGACGGCAAATCACACAAAGCTCTGCCCCTCGGCGTGGAGAATGACCGAGTCTTCAGTGACCTGTGGGGGAAAGGCAACGTGCCTGTCGTCCTCAACAACCCATATTCAGAGAAGGAGCAGGTAAGGGGTGGTGCCAGCCTGGCACCCACACTCCATGGCTTCCTAAACCCTCTTGGGAAGCCAAATCCAAACCACGCTGGAGAGGAAACCAGCCAACATAGTTGGCGAGCTCAGAGCTGGGTTGGGGGGCCTGAGGCCAGGTGCACTTATCCTGGCCTACAGATTTTGGCTTTGGTTTGGTTGGATTTTCTTTGCAAGGACAATTTTTCACTCTGTTCCTACTGGAAAAGACGTTCACGTGGTTCCAAATTTAAAAGATACAAAATATACATGGTAAAAACTTTTCCTCTCTCCTCAAATCCCAGACACACAGTTTCCCTTCCCAGAGGAGAGCAATATTCCTCGTTTTTGTGGTCCTTTTAGCAATATTTTATGCATAAACATTTTCATATATTTTTACACAAATAAGAATGCATCACACTTACAGACAGACCTTGTTTTATTGTGCTTCACTTTATTGTATTTATTTTACAAATTGAAGGTTTGTGGCAACCCTGCATCAGACAAGTCTATTGGCTCCATTTTTTCCAATTGCATTATTTTTTAATTCAATTATACATACTGTTTTTTAGACACAATGCTATTGCACACTTAATAGGCTACAGTCTAGTGTAAACATAACTTATATGCACTGGAAAACCAAAAAATTCATGTGACTCACTTTATTGTGGTATTTGCTGTATTATGGTGTCTGAAACTGAACCCACAGTATCTCTGAAGTATGCCTTTATTATTTTGTGCCTTGTTATTTCTCTTATCAGCATATCTTGGGGATTAGTCCTAATTAGTTGGTAAAGACAATCTTAATTCTTTTTTCACAGCTGCATAATATTCCGTCATAAGACTCTGCCATATTTATTGAGCTCATCCTCCAAAATGGACATGTGGCCCATTGCTAGTATTTTGCTGTGACAATTGCTGTAATGAATGACCTTGGCAGTTGGGTGGTCTTATCGAAAGAATAAATTCCTAGAAGCAGAATTGTTGGATCAGAGGTCATATACATTTGTGATTTGGGCAGAAATTGCCAAATTGCTCACCATAGAAGTCATACTAATCCTATGGCTCAGTAGGAGAATGACTATTTCCCCACAACCTTGCCAACTCAGTGTGCTATCAAACCTTTCAGTCTTTGCCAATTTGCTGAGATGTCTTTTAACAGCTGAGTCAATATGGTTTCCTGAGAGTGGCTAGATTCAGCTAGAGATCACCAGAACCTTTTTCTTACCTGCCCAGGCAGCTGACAGACCAGGCCAAAGCAACCCTGGTGAAGCATGTGAATTTCCCAAAAACCCCTCTGCAAGTGGAATGGCCAACAGGAGGTCAGAATGGGGAGAGGGTCCCAGGCTGCTCAGCAGGGCAACTTCTTCCTTTTCTCCAGCTGCCCCATGCCCTGGATGGCACAGGCCAGGTTGCTAAACTCTTTCTTTTGATGTTTAATCTGCAGACAGTACCTTTCACCACCAACCCATGTAAGCAATGACTCATAGCCTGTCTACATAGCTTCACAGGGGAGGATGGGACATTCCAGAGCCTCAGTGGAATTGCTTTCCTTAGCTGCTGCTGGCTGGCCAGGAAGACAAGGACATCAGGGACTCCCCAGTAGGCCAGACGCGTGATCCCACCAGCCACATACCCTCCCTCTTGCAGGGACACCTGGGAATGTTTGGTGGACAAGCACCATGGTCATCTTCTATTACGCTGTCCTCCAAAATCAAGGCCATACTGTGAGCATCAGGACTGTTATTATCTATTAATGATTAAACGAACAAGTAGAGCTTAAAATTTGTTTACATTTTCTTTCTTAATTGAAAGTTAACAGGAAATTGACACAACATTGTAAACTGACTATAACTCAATCCAAGAAAAAAAAACAGCAAAAGAAAGTAAACGGCTTGGCCATATACAAACCCTCTTAAGACATTGAAGGACAAAAAGAGGCCACCTCAGGCCAGATTCAGGCTATAGACATGATTTGTTAGATCTGCACTATTTTGTCCTAAGAGACCATTTATATTTGTGCTTTGAATTTACTGCAGTGTTTCCAGTTTTTATGTATCATATTTACAACTTCTCTTCAAAATGTGGACAATCTGACCACACTGAGTCTACATTCTTAGGGTGCAATTATCTGCCTGGACTGAGTAATAGCTGCCCTCACTAGAGAGAGTATAGGCTCTCCAGTTTGCCACAATCCCCAGCACTCCCTATTGTGTCCCTCTCATTATAGCCAACTATCCATTGTCATTTATCATAACTTTAGTACTGTTGGTTTTCTTATAATAGTTAAGATGAAAGTTAAATCTTTTTCTATCTCTATCTTTATTTTAAGTGGCAGGTAGAGATCCAGCAAGAGGTTCACACATTTCAGGAAAGATGAGAAAGATTTCATGTTCTATGTAAATGAAGAATATTCTTATGTGTTTAATATGCAACCAAGTATTTTGTCTTGAGATTACCCAGCTTGCTGTAATGATTTGCCTTACCTACCTGGCCCCTCTAGGTACAGAGTGTGTGACTACTGGCCTGCAGTTACCCCTGATATCTGGGGTATAGGGAAGAAGCAGAGGAGGCCTTGACTCCCTACCCACCCCCCCCCAAGAAAGACCCTTAAGTCCTGCTGAAATCTGGGTGATAGCAAGATTGTGGCTATCTCCTTTCATAGGATCCATCTTGGTTAGACAGTGACAGCTTGAAAAACAAAACCTTGAACTTCAAGCCTGAGGAGTAGGGCTCAATGTTGGGAATGGGACAGGAGGGTTCATAGGACCTTTGTAGGGCATCATGATGAAATGATCATGCCTTGGTCCATTTGAGCTGCTATAACAGAATACCATAGACTGGGTAGATTATAAACAACAGAAATCTATTTTCCACAGTTCTGGAGGCTGGGAAGTCCAAGATCAAAGCACTGATAGATCCAACGTCTGTTGCAGGCCTGCTTCCTGGTTCATAGATGGTCATCTTCTTGCTGTGTCTGTGGAATCTCTTTTATAAGGGCACTAATCCCATTCATGGGGGCTGCACCCTCATGACCTAATCACCTCCCAAAGGCCCCGCCTCCCAATGCCACCACACTGGAGGTTAGGTTTCAACATATGAATTTTGGCAGGGGACAGAAATGTTCAGTCTACAGCAATCAGGGGGAGGTGCTGAGAACTCGCCTCAAGGCACCCTCTAAAAGGGAAATTCCATTTCCTTGGAGAAGGAGAAAGGATGCTGGAGGAAGGGGAAGAGACTGAGTCTTCCCGAGGTTAAAATAGCCCCACAGTTTTAGACATGGGAGCTCCTGGAAGCATGACTTACAGCCAGCAGTGCTTGGATTTACACTCACTTCTTTAACATCGTCAAGTCCTCCCTGTAGTCTGTGACCCAAAAAAGGACCAAAATCGCTGGCCTGGGAGAGCATCCCAGCTCTGCTGTCTGAGACTCAATTTTCCAAATGCCTCTCAGAAACAGAGCTGAAAGGAGGCAGAGACCCAAGCTCTCAATTATGTTGGAGTTTCAGAGCTAAGGAAATAGCCCAGCTACCTCCTGCTCAACACCTCCATAGCCACGGGGCTTAGAAATGTTGCCCAGGCTGAGCAAATTAATAGAAAACCCCATGTTTTTCTTTCCAACATGAAAGACGGCCTCCTTTGCTTAACCTCTTCTTTACCCACTCAAGGCCACCATACCAGGAGCTCCTGGAACTGGCTCCCTTCCTCCCAGTTGTAGCCCACATTTACTGCTTTTCTAGGCATCCATGGAAGGAGTATCACTGTTAATAACATAAAGGGAGACCCAGCCACTACCTGCCTTACTGAGTTGGGAAAGAGACAGGAGCTGGTGGAGGAACAGTTAGTCTGCCTTTTCCCCGAGGACTGGCCAAAGGCAACAGAGCCCAAGTGAAGCGGGGAAGATGGAGGCTAGATGTGAGAAGGAACTTCCTGACTCAGATGACGGTCAGCTCCCTGAAGGAGCCGCGAGGCCCGTCCATTAGCCCTAGAGGCACCTTCTTTTAAATTAGCCTCAGAAGGCTGAGGCTTCACCTTTACCTAGTGGTCATTTCTCTTACCGATAGTCTGGGTCAGCAGTGGGTAGGGCCAGTGAGACCCAAGTCCCTGGTCATTAGAGCACAGTGACTTCGTGATGCTTGTCTTTATCGTCCCCTTGCAAATTGTACCTGGCCTGGGCTGGTGGATAGAATGAATCAGTTCAGCCATCACACACCAAATTGATCCCCCGATATCTGCCACATGCCTAGCTCTAGGGTGGAAGC